TATACCTTATCCCACCAACAAAAACAAGGCTGAAAAGATGGCGGACGACGAGACGGAGGAGAAGCCGACGAGACTCGAGCGAGTCCGGTACGGCACCACCGTGAGTATTTACGTCATTAGTTGCAGCCGAACTGTGTTGTCAAATGGGATCTTATAAACAAATATATTATTTTTTTCTACTCCCGTCTGTAAAATACCTAATTACGCACCGATCTAGCGTGCGGGAAGCGTCACTTTACCACGTCAGTTTCGTTTCCCACGAACCGAGCCACTTCGCACATTTCCGAGATTTTACCGCACTTGTTGCATAATATACTATTACGTTTTTGTAATTTTTTCACTTAGATGAATCCGTATTTTCTGTGGTATTTTTCTTAATATAGCGTTTCTTATCTCGTTCGTGTCCAAAAATAATAAAAACAAGTTGATTTTAACAGTTTGATTCCGTTTTTTTTAGGACTAAAAAAACTAGGTATTTTCCTTCTCAGTTGTTCAAAATTTAAATTTTTAGGTTTCCATTCTAATCTTCCCATTATGGTGCAAGGGGATATCCTCAGCCCACCTATTTAGAGGATATCTGTGGTATATCGTGTATAGTAAATCCGCACGCTTTCCATTCAGAAGATATCCCTAGAATGTATTTTACAGAATATCCTTAGTATATGTGCTAACGTATATATTCCACATGTCCCGGGGACATGCGACTTAAATAGGACATTGACTGGATATACTGGGGATTTGTGTGCTATCTGGGTTAGTGCACCAACTTGAAACGACCTTTTGCTGCTTAAATTTTCTGAGATTTCTTTTGAACTTTTGTTAAACGCGTCTCACTCATATAGATTTTTTTCGGAGAAAAAGTTGTGCGCATTAAAATGCGCTTCAATTTTGGGCTTATTGTGGATTGGGCTTTGTTTGGGCTGTGTGAAAACATGTTTATTTTATTTTTTTAGGCTACGCCATCCGCCGCAAATCTCTAAAAGTTATTCCAAAAAATCGTGTTGCCATATCAATTATATGGCCTGCAATGTATTTGCAGCCAATTTAAATCCCATATTGTGGTGTATGCTTTGTATAACCTGGCGCATGTCATGCTCGGCTCATAGTTGCGTTGTCATCGGCGCCATATCTATAATTAAAGGAAATAAATAACTTAAGATATATAATTGTCCAATTAAATGAACTTCAATTACTCTAACAAGAGGGCAGCAGTGCCTTATATGCTGTACATTTGAAGTAATGCTCCTTTGTTGGTGTTACAGAAAATCTGTCTCAGACTCTTTAAAGCGAATTTTTTCCATTTGCATTGCGCCCACTTTTAGTTGTTAATGGTTATTTGAGCTTTGTAAACCGCACTATCTAATTCTTGCCTTAAAAAAAAAACATTTTAGTTGGAAGCTATCTGTTAATAATTTATTTGAATTTTTTTTATAAACCCCTATTAGCCTAAGAGTATAAAAAATTATTTTCGCTGGCTATTTAATAACAATAAACGTCCTAATAACCTCTAACTTTTTTTTTCTCACTTAGAATTTAGTCTGATTATCTTGGTTTCTTTCATATTATTATCGAAATGAATTGATTTAATGAAACTTTTATGACAATAAGAAACCCCAACCCGATGTCACAATTAAATAAGAACTTGATGTTCACATACGCGCTTTGTTTATCCAATTTATGGCTGTAATTGCTACCATTAAAACACATTTTCCGTTTACTTTTTTTATCCGGAATTCCCTAATGAAACGGTTAGTTCGAGGCAATAAAAAGTTGCTCCATTATAAAATGCAAATTTTAGCAATTTTGCAAATGAGATTCTCGTAGTTTTAAAATCAGAAAATATCAACTTAAGTATCCACAAAATGATATTTTTTGATAAAAATTAACCTCTGGTAGAAACGTAATTATTTTAAAACTTTTAATCGTTTTTACTACTGCTTAGCAAAAAAGCTGTTCCCACAACATGAAGCAATCAACTGGAATACCACGAAGAAAACATAACACAAACATAAAACATAATACATAAAACTTAAAAAGGCAGCTGGTCCGGATGGTATACCACCCGAACTAATAAAGTGTGTGACCGCAAATTTTTCGACTGAGTATCTGCGGGTGATGAATAGGCAAATCTGTAAAGGAAATTTTCCTGGAATATGGAAAATCGCCAGGCTGCTGCTTATACAGAAACCACGAAAATAAGGCCAAATAAAACCCACCTACAGGCCTCTATGCCTTATTGATTGCATGGGAAATCTCCTAGAACAACTGATTAAAAGCAGAATTGCGGACGAAATTGAGAGACGCGGAAGACTATCGGACATTCAATTTGGTTTTGTGAAAAAGAAATCAACCGTAGACGCTATGCGTAGATGCTATGAAGGAGGTAAACAAAGCCAAGAACCTTACACCTCAAAATAGGAAACTGACACTGAAACTTTTGACACTGGACGTGAAAAACACCTTCAATTCTGCACCCTAGACAGGTATAGTGGACCAGCTGGAGCAACGGAAAATATCGCCATACCTTGTATAGAGTGTTTTCTTTTCGATGTATAGAACTATAAGTTGCAATAAAACAACGATGGATTATTCGATTGACAGGAATTTTATTTATCGGAAAGATAATCTTGTGGCATTATATTTTAAATATCATTTCTGGCATATCACCGCCACGGCTGACGCGGATATAGTCCAATCTGGACGTCCAATTTTCGATGACTTTTTCCAACATTTGTGGCCGTATATCGGCAATAACACGGCGAATGTTGTCTTCCAAATGGTCAAGCGTTTGTGGCTTATCCGCATAGACCAATGACTTTACATAGCCCCACAGAAAGTAGTCTAGCGGTGTTAAATCACAAGATGTTGGAGGCCAATTCACAGGTCCAAAACGTGAAATTAGGCTGTCACCAAACGTGTCTTTCAACAAATCGATTGTGGCACGAGCTGTGTGACATGTTGCGCCGTCTTGAAACCATATCTCCTGAACATCATGGTTATTCAATTCAGGAATGAAAGAGTTAGTAATCATAGCTCTATACCGATCACCATTGACTGTAACGTTCTGGCCATCATCGCTTTTTAATAAGTACGGACCAATGATTCCACCAGCCTATAAAGCGCACCAGTCAGTTTTTCTTCTTCGCTCCAAATGCGGCAGTTTTGTTTGTTGACGTAGCCATTCAACCAGAAGTACGCTTCATCGCTAAACAAAATTCGCCTATGAAAATCGGGACCAACGGCAATCTCGTTTTGGGCCCATTCGACGAATCCACGCCTTACTTGATGATCGTTTGGCTTCAATTCTTGCACGAGTTGGATTTTGTAAGCACGTAAACCAAGATCCTTCCACAAAATCTTCCATAAAGTGGATGGACACAGAACCAATTTCTGTGCTTGATGGCAGATGGACTCATTGGGGTCTTCCTCAATGCTACGCTCTACAATAGCAATAGCTTCTTCTGTACGCACTGTACGGCGTCTCTGGGGATACAAGTTATCAATAAGAGTAAATGTGGTGCGAAAACGTTCCATGGTTAATCGAAGTAACTGCTCTGATGGACGATTTTGTCGACGATAAAATGGACATAGTGCGCGATACGTATTCCGCATAGAACCATTATTTTCTAAATAAAATTGCACTATTTGCAAGCGTTGTTCAGGCGTGAGTCTATTCATGATGAATTGCCAAACCAATCTGAGAATAAATCTCTTGACAGCTGTTAAATCGGTCGCCATCTTGAACAGTAATGCCAACTTAAAGTTCTATACATCGAAAAAAAACACCCTTTACAAATGATAAAAAGGAACTATTACCCAAAACATCATCAAAACTGTTAAACATGAAGAGGGTGGTCTGAAGTTATGGGGAGCTTTTTTTGGTATAGTATAGGACCAATTTAGTGAATAAAAGAGGCGTTGAATCAAAATGGACATGGTCATAGTCTTCTGGACATCTTGTTACTATTTGCAGAGGTTCACATGCCGTTAATATGTAAGTATCAACACGATAATGATCCAAAACATAATTCTAGAATAGCGAAAGATTTTTTTGTGACAATGGTGTGGATTTACTTTCGTAAATCCACACCAATCTTTGGACGTACCTTTTGGTAAGCATAGTGGAGGCACAATGGGAAGCAGTACGTAAAAAAATAATAAAAATAATAAAACTAATTATTAGGTATTAAAAATGTTTGTATGTAATTTCATCAGTTTATAAATATTTGTTGATGTTGTATTGTGTTTATTTCTTGAAAGGTTCTATTTTTGTGGGCAGATATTTTTTATTTTTTAATTATTCATTTGTTAAATATTTAAATAGTAGAAATGTTAGGTTAGATTTTTTATAAATTTTTTACTTTACTAATTAGATGTAATAAAATTTGTTTTCTAACTTAAATCCGATACTAAAAGTTTATTCGCCACAACATATATTATATTGCAATGGCTCTATTTCATTGACTACCACTGTATATCGTCCTGGAATAGCAACAACTAAAACATTTTTTTTAATTGTACCCTTCTTCATATTAGCAATCCTTTGCTTTTGGACTATTTTCCAAATACTCATCGTCGAGGTTTATTTTGCGCGCGTTAGTTATATACCCAGAATAGTAGACGACGCCCATAGCTAAGTGACTTTGCTTAAAAGCCGTTATATATGTGCTTGTTATGTTGTAAAAGTGCTCTTAATTATTCCAGCCTCTGTATCCGCTAGTCCAAATAAAACCTTATTTCGCTTTCTGTTTTAATAAATGTTTCTAAAAACGATCTCCCAAACTCGGAACATTTAAGTCGTTTAACCTATTTTTTTCTCCTTAATATACAAGAAGAATGTACATATAGTGGAGCAAGCTTAATTGCAAAGTTGCAGAATAGTCGCAAGTGCTACTTGAAGTCCACTTAATTAGAGCCCCTTCATTGTCATCATCGCCGTCTGTCGGTTTTAGCGACATAATTGCAGTATATACAATAATTTAAATAGATTTTGTTTTCAGATAGTCACACGGGATCTGTCAGATCCGGCCAGGGAGGGGGAAATATGTTTGCCATGAACATGAATACCAGCACCGAAGGGCAACTGCGATCACGAAGGAAGGCGGCAAAAATGTTGGTGGCGGTGGTGGTGATGTTCGCGTTTTGTTTTCTTCCCGTCCACTTACTTTCTGTCCTCAGGTAAGCATGTGTGGATGAAAATATATTAAATAGTATTGTGTTTTCAGTTTAAATGATTACGTTTTGATTGCTTCTAACTCTTTTGACTTAAAAGATTTCGAGATAAATAAAAAAAATGTAGGGTTAGAGGCCGAGTTTTGCTCTAATTGTCAGGCATAAATAACCCTTACAATTTACTGCGATGAATAGATGTACAAAATGGACAGATAGATATGTAATTTTATTTGGACTCCCATCTGTAGATGAGCGGCGCAAGTTTGGCCAGGAATCTGTAATTTCTTTGCTTGATTAGGAATCGGACGAGGAGACATGGATGTGGAAGTAACCGAAACACACTACTCTTCTGGAAATACGTTTCCTAAAGTCACATAGTAGTGACTCTAAATACTGCTTACCATTTTGTTCACAGATTTTTTGTTAACTTCTTTCTTCTCATAATTCCTATCCGTTTTTATGAAATGCGTCTACCCACACCAAGGTTTCATTTTTTTTCCTATTGCTTGCAGGACAGATTGCAAGATACGAAACCTGTTTCCCAAATATTGAAACGCATAGGAGCACAGGAGTCCTACCTTGGTGCGTAGTGTTATGTGATGGCTCATTTTGCTGCATTTAGATTTGACCTTTTCAATTCTGCTTCGTATTTATTGCACATGATCCCATTTTTCGTGCACCATAGTTCCAAGATAAGTTATAGTGCTCACTCGTTATATGGGTTTTTGGTTGATCAGTTGACAGTTATTAATGTTATTAATGTTGTCTTTGCTTATAATCATTAGTTTCATTTTTTTTTATGTTAATGTCCAGGTCATATGCTACACTCTGCTATTCTGTTCATAAGATCTTGCAACCCCTCTATGTCGTCGGCGAAAACGGCTGCAGATCGTATATTGTGTACTCTTTATTCATTCATATTCCTGAGTCTATGTGTTCTAAGGTTTCCCGAAATACGAATTATGAATAAATATTAAATAATAATGAAGAAAAAATGCAGCTCTGCCTTACACCTCTGATTATCTTAATTTCCTCTGTTGCGTCATTCCCCTCTGACGGAGGCTGATTGATTGCAGTGCAGGTTAACTATTATGTTATTGTCCTTACCATGTAATCCTACATTTTTCAGAATTTCTATCAATTTTTTATGTTTGACTCTATCACAAACCTTGTAATAGTCAGGTGAGTTCAGGTGAGTAGTGTCTTTCGATTACTACTTACTGTCCAAAGTTACTCCGCTTGTCAGATGGCAATATAAATAAAATTACATCCATCCGAACTAATGTATGCAAACGAACTGGACAGATATTGCAGCGAAGTATTCTGGTCCGGATTTCAAGGCTGAGGTTTGTCAGAAAAGCCCTCAACTTGTTCAGATCGTTCCGCGTATTTGTCATCGAAGTTAGCAAAGAGAATAGTTTAACTGAAACACTATACAAATTAAACACAAATTTAAAAATAAATATTAGCAACGAAAAACTTAAAAATAATTACACAATCAGTACACAAGCTAGACTACTATTAATTTACCTCCTTTCTTAGAAAGATTGGCATTGTTATTTCTAACGACCTCTCCACAGAAGACAGGCAAATTTAAAAAAAATTAAGAAAATATTTGAAAAACGCCAGAATACAAAATTTTCATGCTAAAATACAAGACAATCACTTAATTATTAAAGGACAGACTTACACAGCTACTGATTTAGAAAAACTAGAAATCTCTGCTGGAAGTGAAAAAGAACAAACATCGGAGAACGGGGATAAACACATTGAACTTGAAAAATTCGCAACATATATAGATAGATAGATAGATAGATGGATAGGAAGGATAGAAAAACTGTAGAACAGAACCAGAACAGAATCAGGAAATGGAAATGGGACACCAAGCACGAGAGTTATACGAAAAGGAAAATTAATCAAATACAGTCCCAAGTTACAGGTCGACAAAAGAACAAGGAAGATAAAATTAAAACTAAAAATTATATTATTATCTGAGTATTAATTTGTGTTGAACTGGTCATATTCGCTAATTTGTTTTATTTTGACAAAATTTCTTTGTTTCTTTTTTTTTGTAATAAAAAAGGTTAAATTAATAAAACCAGGATAGCGGATAATTACGTTTGAGATTTCAGATTAACCGATATTCATACCATTATAGCAGATTGTATATACCAAGCAAACTCACTTTTTGTTAGCGACCCGACCAAACAGCATTTTAGAGCTTTTCACAGTAACATTCGAAGTATAGGTAAGAACTTTCCCCAATTTGAAGTTATGATGGAACAATTTAAACACCCATTTGATATTACATTTTTATCTGAAACATGGAAACTAGCAAATACCGACATTTTCTGCTTATATGGGTACAAAAAAATATATAATGAAGGTAGCGTAAAAAAATGATGACGTATTAGTTTATGTGCGAGAAAAACATAATTTTGAATATTCTTTTCATGTAATTTGCAATCAGAATTCAACTAAATGATGGCATTAAATCGATTGGTTTTAAAGTCAGAATTCATGGGCAGACTAAATACGTATGTACAACAATACACTAAAGCTGATAATAAAATAATTTTAAGAGACCTCAATGTAGACCTAATAAATCCAAACGATGTTGACACTCATGATTATTTAAACACTATGAGTGAGCATGGGTTTTCATATTTAATTAATGATTATACACGAATTGAAAATGACACCCAGATTACATTTGGAAATTTTTAAGGCAGTTGAATTACACTCCCGCATTACTGATAGATATACCTAAATTAAAAACTCTAGCTAAAAATGAACATAACCCCAAAAAGATGTGGGAAACTGTAAATCAGTATCTCATAAAATTAAAAAAAACTCTGATAGGATTAATAAGATTCAAGGCTTAGAAAGGATATTATCTTGGAAAACTTGCAAATAAGTATAAAATAACATTTAAAAAAAAAACTGAGCTTCTGTGACGAGATTTCAACTATTTCTCTACTATCGGGCAAAAGTTGGCGAATAAAATTCGAATGACAACCACTGACTTTTCATAAAATCATAATATCAGAGACTCGATGTTTATTGAAGAAACAGATAGTGCTGAGATCGAAAAAATTATTATTAGCGAACTGAAGAATAAAACTACACCTGAAGAAGATGGTATTGATGTTGAGATTTTAATAGAGATTGCCAAACAAATAAGCCAACCGCAATCGTATATAATAAATCTGATAATTTCTACAGGTAAGTGCCCCCAACACTTTAAAGGGGTTATTATTAGTTCAATATACAATCAGTTTGATGTTACACAAATTAAAAGTAGAGGATAGAGGACGTCCCTATGCTTTTGTTTCTATAGATCTGGCAAGGCCTTTGATACAGTAAGTTATGAAAAAACAAATTATAATCAATTCGTGTCAGGAGTCTTGCATTAGATTCAAATCAAGAGACATAACAGGAAACAATCAGTTAGAATTAAGAACATTATTTGTAGCAAACAAACTGCTAACTGTCGCATTTTGTCCCATTTTGTTCAATGTCTACCTAAATCATTAACTTATCAAGAATATTAATGCGGATGATACAGTCCTAATGATGATGGAATAATGTTGAATTGCAAATTAAGGCAGATCTTTGCGCAATAACCAACTGGTTTGACGAACACTTACTCACCATAAATTTACAAAAACTGTGTATGTGCCCTTTTCTAAGATCGCCATAATATTAGCAAGTAACAATTGCGGTTTAAATGACACAGAGATCTGAATTGTGGCAAATTGAAATAAAAATCAGTGTCAAATATCTTTCCATATTATTGGATAGCCACCTGAAATGGGATATTCATTGGGATATTTATATTCACACTAGTTAAAAAATCAGATCCCAAGTATATATTTTTCAGCAAAACCAGACAAATTCTTTGAATAAAAGAAAATATATTAAATCTATTAAAAACTATTAGAGGTTATTCAGAAAATAGTCCCGAAAGTTATATTTCAATATAACCGACAGTATCTCTCAAATTAGATTTTTAAGTATTGCAGGGTATTAACTATTCGACAAGTATACTATAAAGTAACTATGATTCATAAGCGGAAAAACTCATTATTCAACAACTACATATCTCATAATCACTTTACTAAAGAAAAAAAGAAAACTTAACACAACCGTCTGCAAAGAAAAGGATAAGGCAGAGACCATTTCTATTCCTGCTGAAATAAAAAATGTTATAACATCTAAAGGGCTCGGCTATAAATTGTCTAATTGGTTAGTGGAAAGTTGTCCCACAGACATTGATTTAGTTTAAAGCTATATCTAAAAACAAGTTCAATTAATGCAACCCATTATTTTGGTTCCTCCAGCTTCTTTTGGTCAGTTTATTTTTGTAGGCTAGGATTATATATTTTATTTTGTTTGGGTTAATTAAGTGTTATGAATTCTATCGCAAATGTTATGTCTTATTTTTTTGATTATCTCAAATTCAAATTTAAGTTTAATATGTTATTAAATTAAAGCGTCCTGTACTCTAGCGTTATGTTGAGGTAAAAGCTTGTATCTTATGGGCAATGAACAATTTATTATTATTGTTATTATTACTATTATTACTATTATTAATATATATATTTTCAAGAGCTTCGTTATGCCGCCTCAGAGTAGAGGTTGAACAACAGGAAGGATAACACTCCTCCTCTTATTACTATATTTTCTGATATGGATACTTCGATTCTGACTGTTGCACAGTAGTAGTTAAAAATATTTCATTTCATAGCCAGTTAACTCATCTCAAAGTTATAATAAATTATATTTTCGATCGTTGGTTTTATTTGGAAAACTTATTTTGTATTATAATGTGTCGCCGGTCTAGATGGTAATCGAAAAAAATGACAACTGGCCTGATTGTAAAGCACATAAAATAACTTGTTTAACTTCGTGCGGTTCGTAACGAGGTAACGTGAATAAATTTGCCTTCTCCGACGTTACGATTCGCAGCCGCACTATTTTAGGTGCTAAAGTTTTCCATCCAT